CTTCCAAACCCACAACCACTTCCAACTAGAAGGACAAGGGCAGCAGTACATGGGAAAACCACCCCCCTGCCAGTTTGGCTCCAAAGTCACTCACCATCCTGACTTGGAAATATATTGCCGTTCCTCCACTGCCACTGGGTCAAAATCCTGGAATTCCCTCCCTAATAGCATTGTGGGTCATCCCACAGCAGGAGGAATGCAGCGATTCAAGAAGGCAGCTCTCCACCACCTTCTCAAGGGCAACTAGGGATGGACAAGAAATGCTGGACCAGCCAGCAATGTCCATATCCCACAAATGAATAATAAAAGAGATAAGATTTAGAAGAATATGGAGAGGAATTTTGTAAGATTCAAGCATCAAATATCAGAAGCACACATTGCACCAATCCCACACAAGTCCATTCATTTTACTCGGAGAGAAACATGGAGGGAATTCCTTCCACTCTCTGGAAACGTGAAGGAAATGGGAGTTGGAAGTGTTCTGTTGCAAATGGGTGGCATTCGGTTTGGAGACAGAATGCTCCAGTTTCATGGGTGTGTTGCTGCTCCTGGGTGGAGTGGGCTGGGGTGTGGGTACTAGAACAGGAGTCGGCTACTCGGCCCCTCCGGCTCTTCTGTCCCACTGGTTCATTGGCCACATGACTCCATAAGCCAACACAAATCTGCTAGTGGGTTTATAACTTGGGCTCGATGAGTTCAAGCATCAGTTGCCTTGTTACCTGTGAGCAAAGCAATGGGCAGCAGAGACAACCCAACAAGAATCTATAAGGGATCCAGCGCAAAAGTTTCTCCCGATGTATATAGCTGCAAGCCAGGGGTGAGAGCCAGGCAAGGCCGAGGAGCCTCCAATAACCCTTGGTCTTAGGCCCTTCTGAATTTTTTTACCACATGAGGGCGATTGTTGAGCAACTATTGGAGCTGTAAACCTTGCAATAGGATGAACATTCCTTGACCAGAAACCTGAAAGACAGTGGAACAACGCAGTATAAGATAAAACAAATGTGTGACTATTTGTATACATGGGCATATGAGAACATTTGACATAGGAGCTGGAGTTGGCCACTCAGCCCCTCAAGCCTGCTCTACCATTCATTAAGATCATGGCTGCTCTGATTACAACACATACTTGCCCATCCCCAATAACCTTTCACACCCTTGTATCCTTTTTTTGAATTTGTTCATGGGATATAGGCATCATTGGCTAGGCCAGCATTTATTGTCCAACCCTCATTGCCCCAAAAGGCAGTCAAGAAACAACCACATTGCTGTGGGTCTGGAGTCACTTGTAGGCCCGACCAGGTAAGGATGGCAGATTTCCTCCCCTGAAGGGCATTAGTAAACCACATGGGTTTTTATGACTACCAACTGTATAGGGTGAATAGCCAAGGTCTTTTTCCCAGGGTAGGGGAGTCCAGAACTAGAGGGCATAGGTTTAAGGTGAGAGGGGAAAGATTTAAAAAGGACCTAAGGAGCAACTGTTTCATGCAGAGGGTGGTGCGCATATGGAACGAGCTGCAAGAGGAAGTGGTGGAGCCTGGTACAATTACAACATTTAAAAGGCATCTGGATGAGTATATGAATAGGAAGGGTTTAGAGGGATATGGGCAAAATGCTGGAAAATGGGACTAGGTCAGATTGGGATGTCTGGTCAGCATGGACGAGTTGGAACAAAGCGTCTGCTTCTGTGCTAAATAACTCCATGACTATAACTGCTGCGAGTAGATCCACACACCTCAACTTAGCAAGGTTATATTGACGTTGGAGGGAGCAGGTTTAAAAGAATTGTACCTGGACTTCAGTGGTTAAGTTATAAGGAGACATTATACAAATTAGAAAAAAAAATCAGAAGTTGCTGGAAAAGCTCAGCAGGTCTGGCAGCATCCGTGAAGAGAAAATCAGGTTAACATTTTGGATTTGATGGATGTCACTGGACCTGAAACGTTAATTCTGATTTTCTCTTCACGGATGCTGCCAGACCTGCTGAGCTTTTTCCAACAACTTCTGTTTTTGTTTCTGATTTACAGCATCCGCAGCTCTTTTGTGGGCGACACGGTGGCACAGTGGTTAGCACTGCTGCCTCACAGCGCCAGGAACCTGGGTTCGATTCCAGCCTCGGGCGACTGTCTGTGTGGAGTTTGCACATTCTCCCTGTGTCTGCGTGGGTTTCCTCCAGGTGCTCCAGTTTCCTCCCACGGTCCAAAGATGTGCAGGTTAGGTGGATTGCCCATAGTCCTCAGGGAGGTAGAGGGTGTATATTAGGTGGGTCATAGGGGAATGGATCTGGGTGGGAGGTTCGGTGTGGACTTGTTGGGCCGAAGGGCCTGTTTCCACACTGTAGGAATTCTAATTCTTTCAGGTTTTATAATACAAGTTAAGCCTGTTTTCTCTGGAATTTAGAATGTAAAAGGGTGATCTGATCTAAGTCTTAAAGATATTAAGAGGAAAAGACAGAACAGATAAAAATAAACTATTTCAAAAAAAAAACCCAATGAACTGTCGACGCCGGAAATCAGAAATTGCTGGAAAATCTCAGCAGGTCTGGCAGCATCTGTGGAGAGAAAGCAGAGTTAATGTTTTGGATCGAGTCACCCTTCTCCAGTTCTGGATACAGTTCCTTCATAATCTCTCAGGTCACTTAAGAGGTCGGAGAGACAAAGAGTTTAGTACCTTGCGAGCACAAGGCTACATGTGGCAATGGGATGCTTCCTTATAACAGTACCAGGAGTGTCACACTGAACTAGATGTTAAAGCTTCCTGAGTTAGACGTTACTTTGTACGTGCTTATCAATGATTGTGGGAACAGTGTGGGAGAAAGGTGAAATTTAGGAGGATATTGTAGAACTTAGACAAGTCAGGGAAACGGGTTGACAGATGTCTGATGAAATTTAATTGGGAAGAATGTAAAGTGATTCATATTGGTAGAAGAATGCAGGGAGACTATAATAACGCCTACAAGGCCCATGGGGAATCATTTATTAATGTCCCTGCGGGGCTCATTGAGCATGGGTTCCCTTGGTAACAGGCAATGGCCTGCCCACTGGAACTCATCGCCTGAGCCCTTTACAAACAGCGCTGCTGTTTTATATCCAAGCAAGGTGTTTGGTTCTCAATTATCAGTAAAAACAAAGAGTTCATTATTGTTTAAGGCCATACTAGACTGAAAATGCCTGATCTCGCCTGATCTCAATAGCTACACAGACTCAGGCCTGGTTAGAACGTGGATGGGAGATCACCTGGGAATACCAGGTGCAGTGAAAAATAAGCAGGGCCCTCCTGCGGCGCAATGCCAATGCGTGTACCCCTGGTCTGGGAGGCCCAGCGGTGTGTGATAACATCTCCAAACAGGTTGATGAGGAAAAATAGGCTGAATAAAAAAAAAAGCAGACCCATTCCATAGGGAATACAGTGCTTCATTTTCCCCCTCCAACTCCACCTGGATTTAGTCCCTTGCCTCTCTCCCTGCTTCTCCCTCACTTTTAAAGGTTTGTGTTGCCATTAATGGGCTTTACTTGTAAATATTTGATTGGTTACATGGGTGATTATTGGTAGTGGTTAGTAGTACACAAAAAAAAGTCCCACAGTAATTTTGGTGGTTGAAAGGTCACTCAGTTGTGTGTGATAACACTTCTATGTAGAAACAAGAGGAAAAAAGAAGGAAAAATAACTGGCTAATTTGACTGAATGGCCTTTTTTGTTTTCCTTTATTCATTACCAGGATGAGGATGTCACCAGCTAGGTAGCATTTATTGCCCATCCCTAATTGCCCAGAGGGCAGTTCAGAGTCAACTATATTGCTGTGGGTCTGGAGTCGCATGTAGGCCAGACCAGGTAAGGATGGCAGTTTCCTTCCCTAAAGAATATTAGTGAACCAGATGGGTTTTTCCTGACAATTGACAATAGATTCATAGTCATCTTTAGATCCTTAATCCCAGATATTTTATTGAATTCAAATTCCATCATCTGTCATGGTAGGATTTGAACCCAGGTCCCCAGGACATTATCTGGGTCTTGGAATTAACAATCCAGTGATTACCATTAGGCCATTGCCTCCCCTGCTGTCCTCATTGGTGCCAGAAACAAGTAATGTCCACTTCAGGGATCAACTAAGTCAAAGAAGAATGAAAGAAGGAGTCTGAAGAGTTCAGAGGAAAGGCCACTGGACCCGAAATGTTAACTCTGATTCTCGCCACCAATGCTGCCAGACCTGCTGAGATTTTCCAGTAATTTCTGTTTCTGTTTCTGATTGGGGAGACAATGGCCTAGTGATGTTACTGCTAGACTATTAACCCAGAGACCCAGATAACATTCTGGGGACCTGGGTTCAAATCCTGCCACAGCAGATAGTGGAATTTGAATTCAACAAAATATCGGGAATTAAGAATCTAATGATGACCATGAATCCATTGCTGATTGTTGGGGAAAAACCCATCTGGTTCACTAATGTCCTTTAGGGAAGGAAACTGCCATCCTTACCTGGTCTGGCCTACATGTGACTCCAGACCCACAGCAATGTGGTTGACTCTGAACTGCCCTCTGGGCAATTAGGGATGGGCAATAAATGCTGGCCTGGCCAGCGACACCCTCATCCTGGTAATGAATAAAGAAAAAACAATTTCCAGCATCCTCAGTTCTTTCATTTTTTTATTCATCTGAGTCTGAACGGGTCCTTATCCCAACTTGTCCCACATCTGTAACAGGTTTGCAATTACAGATAGCTCATGGTGAAATTGTCCTGTCATTTGTGATGGTGGTTGAGGGATTAAAACTGGTCAGGATACCATAGAGAATGGACCCTGGTCTTCAAGTGGATTTTATGGAATCTGTTGATCATCCAACTGAGGGGGCCAGGCTGACATTGGCTTTGTTGAAATGGGGGAAGAATTGAGAAAAGGGCAATTTTACGAATAGGTAAAAGAAAAACGTAGTTGGAGACAAAAAAAAACTGCAGATGCTGGAATCCAAGGTAGAAAAACAGGAAGATCGATCGACCACTCACTCACTCACTCACTCGCTTGCTCGCTCACACGGCGGCTCAGTGGTTAGCACTGCTGCCTCACAGCGCCAGGGACCTGGGTTCAATTCCAGCCTTGGATGACTGTCTGTGTGGAGTCTGTACGTTCTCCCCATGTCTGTGTGGGTTTCCTCCCACAGTCCAAAGATGTGCAGGCTCAGTGGATTGGCCGTGCTAAATTGCCAGAAGTGCTCAGGGATGTGAAGATTAGGTGGGTTACAAGGGGATGGGTCTGGGTGGGATACTCTGAGGGTCAGTGTGGACTCGTTGGGCTGAAGGGCCTGTTTCCACACTGTAGGGATTCTATGATTCTATGACTTCACTGAAATGCGATACTCACTCGTTGTGCCACACTTTGCGATATTGCAGTGCTCCCAGGACACGTGGTTGTCTAACATTATGTAACACCAAGGTTTTTCATCACCATCTGGATTTCTGCAACAGATAGTGGGATAATGAATGCCTCCCCTTTCTGCTGTGTTTCGCTGATCCCGCTACAAGTGAACACAAGAGGTGTGCACAGTGGAAGAGTGGAGGAAAAGTAACAGGAAACACCTCAGATCAAGCCAAAGCCCTTTGCAGAGCACCAGTGAAGACCGATCACCGTTGCAAACTAGCAGACAGGGCAGCTAATGTATGCACAGCAAGATCCCACAAACACCAATGTGATAAAGACTGAACAAGCTATCTCCAATGATGTTGGTTGAGAGTTAAAAATTGGCCAATGCTCTCTTCCAACCATGACATGAGAATTCCCATACTCATCTGAAAGGGCACACACCACCCTCTGTTTAACCAGCCCATCCAATCTAAAAGCCCATGGGTTAAATATCCTCCAACAGTACACTGCTCGAAACGTTTGCTTTGTCCCATGTTTGACTGGAATTATTCACCAGTTGAAAGCAGAGCTCTGACTAAACTCTGCTAATAAGTGGCAAATGGAATTCTGTCCTGCTAAATGTGAGGTAGTGCATTTGGACTGGGCAAGCAAGGCAAGGGGATACATATTGAACAAAGGGACCCTGGGAAGTACCAAGGATCGGAGGACCTTGGTGTGCATGAACACTGGTCTCTTAAGAGAGTGAAGCAGGTAGATAAAGTGGTTAGGAAGGCATATGGGCTATTTGCCTATATTAGCCGAGGCATAGGGTTTAAGAGCAGGAAGGTGATGCTGGAACTGCAGTTAGAGTGTTGTGTGCAGTTCTAGAATCCACATTAAATGAGGGACGTGATTGCACTAGAGGGGGTGCAGAGTAGATTTACCAGAATAACATCTACACCGGAGAGTTTCAGTTATGAGGAGAGATTGGACAGACTGGGGTTGTTTACTTTGGAGCAGAGGAGACTGAGGAGGAGGTGTACAAATTTATGAAGGCATAGATAAGGTGGACAGAAAGGAATCTTTCCCCTTGGTGAAGGGATCCATGACCAGGGGGTGTAGATTTAAGGTAAGAGCTGAGGGTTTACAGGGAATGTGAAGAAAAACCTTTTAATCCAGAGAGTGGTGGAAGTCTGGAACTCTCTGTCTATTAGGGTGGGCGAGGCAGAAACCTTTGTAACATTGAAGAAGCATTTAGGTGTGCAGTTCTAATGTCAGGACATACAAGATTATGGGCCAAGTGTTGGAAATTGGATTAGAATACTTAAGTGGTTGTTTTGACTGGCACAGACTCAATGGATCAAAGAGCTTCTTCCTGTCATGTAGACCTCGGTGATCCTGTGACTTGAACATTGTTCTGTCCTCTCTCTCCCAAACCTGATGACCCAAATCCACTGTTTACACATCAAATTAATTACAGGATCATAGAACGATGAGACACAGCAGAAGGCCATTCATCCCATCATCTATGTGCTGGTTCTTTGTAAGACCTATCCAATTGGGTCTCACCTCCTCTCTGAGATCGTAAGAACTGCCGATGCTGGAGTCAGAGATAACACAGTGTGGAGCTCCTCCCACCTCACTGACCAATCCCCACCAATGCCTACCTGCACTCACCTATCACTGTCCCACCTACCTACCCCAGCCCCACCCCTCGTCTCTCTATTTATTTCAGAGCTTCCTCCCCCCCTCCCCCATTTCTGAAGAAGGGTCCCAACCCAAAACGTCAGCTTTCCTGCTCCTCTGATGCTGCCTGACCTGCTGTGTTCTTCCAGCTCCACACTACATTATCTCTCACCTCCTCTCTCCTCTCTTTATCCATAGTCTGGAAAGTGGTTTTCTTTCCAGCACTTATCCAATTCCCTTTTCAAAGTTACCACTGAATCTGTGTCAGTGTTTCACTTCCCACCTGCAGTAGGAGTGGTCACCTAGGCCCAGCTGGAGAGCTCCTTCCAGGCTACTAATGTTCAAACGCTCACGCAAGAAGTCCTCATTCCAGGGTAAGCATTCGATACCCAAGGCGCTCTCATCTTCAGGACCTTTATAAGACATCCCATTGTCCTTGTAGCAGATAGCATTCTTGTCTAAGAGAGAAAACAAAGAACAGTTCAATGAGAAGACTAACGTCATTTCGTCAAAGAGTACGAACTGCAGATGCTGGAGAATCTTCTTCTGAAGAAGGGTCTAGGCCCGAAACGTCAGCCTTCCTGCTCCTCTGATGCTGCTTGGCCTGCTGTGTTCATCCAGCTCTACACCTTGTTATCCCGTCACTTCGTCAAAGATTGGGCAAGTCTTTGGGGCTGGCACAGAGGTCAAAGGTTGAGTTGACTCTTGAGCCTTTGCCCATGGTCAGGTTGATGAAGGGGGATGGGAGGGTGAGAGTTAATCAGGCAGGAGAATGGCGAATGACAATCCCAGCATCTCCCTATCTCCACCCTAATTACCTTGAATGGCAAGGCTCGAAATGATCCGACCACCAACTGAAACCTGTATATGGACAATCAATGCCCCTGCACAGCTGGAGGAGCTTAAATTCAATTAATAAAACCTATAATTGAAAGCTAGTCTCAGTACTGGTGCCAATGCTTGTCTAGTACCCAGCTGCCTGAATTCACAGAATCACAAAGGAGGCCATTCAGCCCATCGTGCCTTCACTGGTTCTACGCCCTAGTGCCAATCTCTTGCCTTTTCCCCATATCTCTGCGCACCATTTCTACCCAAATAATTGCCCAATACCCTCCTGAATGCCTCATTTGAACCTACCTCCAGCATTTTGCCAGGCCATGCATTCCAGACCCTAGCCACTCGCTGAGTGAAAAAGTAATTCTCACATCACCCTTGCTTTCACTTGCACTTTATTAAACATCAGTGCCTTCTTGTTCTTGCTCCTTTTACAAGTTGGAACAGCTTCTCCATATCTACTTTATGCAGCCCACTCACGATTTTAAAAACTTTAATCAAATTTCCTATTAGCCTTCTCCTTTCCAAGGAGAACAGTCACAACTTCTCCAATCTATCCTCATCACTGAAGTCTCTCATTCCTGGAGCCATTCTTGTAAATCACTTCTGCACCCTCTCCAATGTAAATTGTATCTTTTCTATAATGCGACAACACCCTGAGCTGGACATAATACTCCAGCTGAGGTCTAACTAGCATCTCCTACAAGTTCAACATCTCCTCCTTGCTCTTGTAATCTATAATCCTATTAATAAAGCCGAGAACACTGTATTAACTGCTCTCTCCACTTGTCCTACCATCTTCAATGATCTGTGTATACAGACACCCAGGTCCCTCTGCTCCTGCAGACCCTTTAGAATTGTACACCCTATTTTGAATTGCCCTTCAATGGTCTTTCTCCCAAAGTGCATCACCTCCCACTTCTCTGCATTGAACCTCATCTGCCTTCCATCCGCCCACCCCATCAACTTGTCAATGTCCTTTCGGAATTCCACACTGTCCTCCTCGCAGTTTACAATTCTTCCAAGTTTTGTGACATCCGCAAACTTTATAATTGTGCCTTGCACACCAAGATCTGGGCCATTAATATATATCATGGGAGTTAAATGTCACAAATTAGCTACCTACCTTTTCTCAGTTAGGATGAAAGATCACAGACCTGAGTTATTAACTCCTGTTTCTCTCTCCACAGATGCTGCCATAACAAAACAAAACAGCCCATTTGTTTGGCACGTTGCTCCCCGCTCCACCACTGACGCTCAGTAGCAGCAGTGTTTACCATCTACAAGATGCACAGTAGAAATTCACCAAAGATCCTCAGACAGCACCTTCCAAACCCATGACCACTTCCATCTAGAAGGTCAGGGGCAGCAAAAACGTGGGAACGCCACCAACTGCAAGTTGCCCTCCACGCCACTCGCCATTCCTGGATAAAATCCTGGAATTCCCTCCCTTAAGGGTTCTGTGCATCTACCTACAGCATATGGACTGCAGCGGTTCAAGAAGGAAGCTCACCACGACCTCCTCAAGGGCGACTGGGGATCCGCAATAAAATGCTGGCTCAGCCGAAGTGAGGCAGGAAGGGAGCGAGTGAATGATGAGGGAGGCAGGGAGGAGGATAAAGGGAAGGAGTGAGAGGCGTATTGAGGGGAACAGTGAGGTAGTAATGAAGGAGGTGGCAAGCGAGGGATGGGGGAGGTGAGGGAGTGATGACGGGAACAGCTATCGGGGGGGGGAGGAGTGAGCAGCGAGTTGGGCAAGTTAATGTTGGGCACACAGCGATGGAATGAGCTGCACTGCGTGCACAGACAGACTGGTTACTGAGTTCCAATCCCAATCGCCCAGAGGCACAGGTGCAGAGTAGAGGCTGGCAGGAGGTAACACATTCAAGGACAGCACTTGTCCTGTCCAGGAGCTTACCAATATCACAGTATTTGCCCGCAAAGACAGCTTGGCACCGGCAGATGATCTCCCCTGTGTCCTGGACTGCTCGACACTCACCACCATGGAGGCACTGGTTAACTCTACACTCTGAAACAGAATTGGTGTGAAAATACGTGACTCTGACAATAATCCACTCCAGCCGGCAAAGGGTAGATTTTACCAGGTTCAGAGTTTCGTTCCGTTAGGGGGCGTAGAGGCTTAAGGGGATCCATCACGCATTGTAAAGTAATTACGAAAGACAGCAGGTTGGGGCATACACTATTGCTATAGAACATCTCGCTCATCAAATCTGAACAGTCAAAGCTACTGCTTATCATACTGCTTAGTTCATTGGCACGTTTAAAAAGAAAGAACCTCCATTTATATAGCACGTTTCACAACCACACAAGACAACAACAGTAGAACCATAAGAAATGGAAGCAGGAGCAGTCTATTCGGATCCTCAACTCTGTTCTGCCATTCAATCGGATCATGGCTGATCCAACAGTTCTCACATCCACATTCCTGCCATTTTCCAGACGGATCAAGAACCTGTCCATCTCAGCCTTAAATACACACGAGGACTTTGCCCTCGCAGCTCTCTGTGGCAATGAGTTCCGAAGACTCCCAACCCTCTGAGAGAAGAAATTCCTCCTCATCTCAGACTTAAATTGAACACTATGCCCTCTGCTCCAAGACTCTCCCGTGAGGGGAAACATCCTCTCAGTACAATGTCCCAAAGTGCTTTACAGCCAATAAAATACTTTTAAAATATGAATGATCGTTTATGTACATAACCGACACTTAAAAAGATAAATACATGGCATCTTTCAGAACTTTAGTTTATTCTAAAGTATATTGGACTGTAGTCGCTGTTAAAATGCTGGAAACACAACAGCACACGATCTCCACCAATAACAATGTTTAATGGACAGATAATCTGTTTTCTGTGATGCTAGTTGTGTGATAAATATTGCCCATGATACAGCAGGCAGGCTTTTGTTTTGTTTTTTGAACTGTGTCCATAGAATGCTCATCTGAATGTGTAATATGGACATGGGTTCATCAGCTCTTCCAAACTACAGCACCTCTGTTAGGGCGGCACTCCCTCATTACTGCATTTCCAGTGTCAGGCCTGAATGGGTGATCAAGTAGTTGGAGCATTAATGAAAGAGGTAGCCTCATCTCAATACAGCTGGATAAAATGCTGTTATTTAACAAAAGAAATCTGTTAGTACTGTATCAGGATCAATGGCTTAGTGGTATTATCACTGGACTGTTGATCCTGAGAGCCAGGTAATGTTTTGGACCCTGCTTCAACTCCTGCCATGGCAGATAAATTTAAATCCAATTTTTAAAAAATCAGGAATTCAGAATCTTATGCTGAATTGATTGTTGGGTATTAATCCATTTGGCTCACTAACATCCATCCTTGTATAATCTGGCTTATATGTGACTCCAAACCCACAGCAATGTAGTTGACTATTAAATGCGTTCTGTGTAATTATGGAGGGACTCCCACATCCCACTATTGAATGTTTTAACAAAGGATGCTGGAAATCTGAAACAAACACAGAAAGTGCTGTATCCATGGAGAGAGAGAGACACCGACCCTCCAAACAGTGTCCTATCCAGACCAACCACCCCTACTCTATCCATCTAACCCTGCATTTCCCATGACTAATCAATCCAGCCTACACGTCCCCGGACACTACGGGCAATTTAGCACGGCCAATCCACCTAAGCTGCACATCTTTGGACTGTGGGAGGTACCAGAGCACCCAGAGGAAACCCACACAGACACAGGGAGAATGTGCAAACTCCACACAGTCACACAAGGGTGGAATCGAACCCAGGTCCCTGGAGAGAAACATGTTTCAAGTTCCCTCTAAGATAAGTCATATCAGACCCTATAGGTTAAGTCTGATTTCCCTCCACTGATGTTGCCAGACCTGCTGAGTTTTCCAGGATTCTCTGTATTTGCTTCAGTTTTACATCTGGCCCCTGTTCAAAGCAAATGAGGTGGATAACTTGTATTTTAGATTTTGAAGTTAGGAACATAGGACTTAGGGAGAGAAGTAGACCATTTACCCCTTTGTACATGCTCTACCATTCAATAAGACCTTGGCTGATTTTGTTTTGGTCTGAGCTCCACTAACCTGCCTTTCCCATCCCCACTCCATAAGCTTGACAGTCTTTCAATCAAGAATCTGTCTAACCCGGCCTTGAATAATTGTATAGATCCAGCCTCCACTATTTTGTAGGGAAGGCAATTTCATAGACAAGCGACCTTCAGAAAAAATTCTCCTCATCACCGTCTTAGAAGGGAAATTTCTTACTTTTAAAATGCATCCCTTGTTTCAGTCTTCCCCACAAGAGGAAATCCATTCCTGGCATCCAGCTTCCCATTCACCATACAATAGTTAGGCAGTGGTGAGTGTAATTCAGGACACTGGGAGTGCACACTGTCCTACATGACCATGCATGCAAGCTGTTGGTTTAACATATAATCATAGACCCTTCGGTCCAACCAATCCATGCCAAACATAATCCCAAACAAAACTAGTCCCACCTGCCTGTGTTTGGTTCATATCCCTCCGAACCTTTCTTATTCATGTACTTATCTGTCTTTTGGATGCTGTAACTATGCCCGGCTCCACCACTTCCTCAGGAAGTTCATTCCACCTGCGACCCAAACTTGCGTAAAAACTTGCCCCTCATGTCTTTTTAAAATCTCTCTCCTCTCACTTTGAAAATATGCCCCTAGTTTTGAAATCCCCCACCCTAGGGAAAAGACACCTACCATTAACCCTATCTATACCCGTCATGATTGTATAAATCTCTAGAAGGTCACCTCCCAATCTCCTATGCTCCAGTGAAAAAAGTCCCAGCCTATCCAGCCTCTCCTTATAACTCAAACCTTCCATACCCAGCAACAACCAGTTAATCTCTTCTGAACCCTCTCTAGCCTAATACTAACCCCCACAGTGGTCTCCCAGTGTGGTGTATCAACCCCCCAGCCCCGGCCTCCCCACAGCGGTCTCCCAGTGTGGTGTATCAACCCCCCACCCCCGGCCCCCCCACCCCCACAGCAGTCTCCCAGTGTGGTATCACTGGCACAGTGTGGAGCCAGGGCCTGGTGCGGACTGTAATCTCAGTGCCAGGTGGTCTGCTTTACTGAACTTTTATATCTCTAATGCTGGATATTTTATTTCTGTATTGTCTGAAATCTTGTAAAAATAAAAGAAGCTGTGCCTATGTACTTTTATATCTATATCGGCGCTGCAATTGGCAGCGTATAAACATTGCACTATAGTGGAGTCAGATACTTTGGAGACTTTTAAGCGACTCTTGGATAGGCACATGGAGGATAGTAAAATGTAGGGTATGCAGGGTAGATTGATCTTAGTAGGATAATAAGTCAGCACAACATCGTGGGCCGAAGGGCCTGTACTGTGCTGTACTGTTCAATGTTCTATGTACTATACTCATTGATTATACATGACAATAAAGACTTTTATTATCAATAACAGTGCGACCAGAACTGGATACTGTCCTCCAGATGAGGCTTCACCAACATCCTGTACAACCTCATCATGACGTCCCAATTCCTATACTCAAATGACTGAGCAATGAAAGCAAGTGTGTTAAGTGCTTTCTTTACCATCCTGTCCAAATGTGATGCAAACTTTAAAGAGTTATGTACCTGAACCCCTACATGTTCACCAATGCAGTCCTTCCTCACTGTAGCACTGCGTCTGTTGTCCTTGATGTTTGCACTTAATTTCTGTAAAGCGAGACTTAAACAGACAATCCTCTCACAAACAGACATGATTGCTGCCCTTTGAGCTAAGAAGCGAAAGATGTTCAAAAAGGATGCACCATCCATTGAAAGAAAACGTGCACAATGATTATTGCAGAATTCCAGAAGGATGGAAAAATTTAACAAACTGGCAAAGAATGACTTAACAAAACAATGAGGGAAGAATCAGAGTACGGGAAAATGAGATAAAAATGGGAAGTGAAGTTTCCTGTGATGAAAGTATACAATATAAACCTACTCCTGAGGTTCCCAGCATCACAGCTGCTAGTCTTCAGCCAATTCAATTTATTTCACGTTGGAGTTTAATCCTACAACTGTACAATTTGAAAATCATTCATGTAACAGGAAGGGACAATATTAAAGGGAGCACTTTGTCAATAGAAAATAGGACGGAAAACAAATGCATGAGATCAAAATAGACTTATGTAGAATACGATTATGAAAATCCAATGTGTTATTATTGTCAATGCAAAATAGAAAGAGCAAAACAAGGGAATTTTTCATAGAAGGTGAAAATGCCTTCTTAAAGATGCACTATAATTTCCAGGAGGGGAAAGTGTGATAAAAGTTTATAACATATAATTATTTTCGAACTTGAACTCTAAGGAGGTAAATGGGTTTTTGATTTTCAGAGCTGTGGGGTTTTTTGTTAAATGGTCATAAGTTCTTTTGGAACAGTGAGCTAAAGACAGCCATTCTTGATTTCAAGAAATCATATGACTTAAGTTAATGATTCAACAAGCTACTTGCTGAGAGATAATTACTGCTTATTGTTGACTTGAAGTTTTAACTCAAGGGCCAGATGGATGCCTAGGGGTGACAAGCAGGTTCAGTACTGAAGTAAAGATCCTTAACAGCAAGAAAGGCAGTGTAGTTATTAGCAAACTCTAGGCCTTCAGTGATGGAAAGAGGTCTTAAGCTGTATTAACAGTCAAAGTAGGCAGCTTCTTTTTAGCTCTCAGTTCCAAATGACCTTCTGAATCTTTAAAAAAATGTCTTCACAGCACTGAAAACCCAAAACCCACTTACCCCTACTTTAGCAGTCCAAGAGGAAGATGTGTTGCTGAACAAAGGGACCTAGGAGTGCAGGTTCATTGTTCTTGAAGGTGGAGTCGCAGGTAGACAGGATAATGAAGAAGGTGTTTGGTACACTTGACTTTATTGATCAGTGCTTTGAGAATAGGGGTTGGGAGGTCATGTTGTGGCTGTAGAGGACATTGGCTATGCCACTTTTGGAATACTGTATTCAGCTCTAGTCTCCCCGTTAAAGAAAAATGTTGTTAAACTTGAAAGATTGCAGGAAGATTTACAAGGATGTTGCCATGTTTGGAGGGTTTGAGGCATAGGGAGAGTCTGACTTGGCTGGGGCTATTTTCCCTGGAGCATCGGAGGCTGAGGGGTGGCTTTATAGAGGTTTATAAAATCATGAGGGGCAGGGATAGGGTGAGCAGCCAAGGTCTTTTTCCCAGGTTAGGGGATCCCAAACTAGGGGGTGTAGGTTTAAGATGAGAGGGGAAAGGTATAAAATGGACCTAAGGGGCAACTTTTTCATGCAGAGGGTGCTGCTTGTATGGAATGAGTTACCAGAGCAAATGGTGCAGTCAGGTACAATTACAATATTTTAAAGGCATCTGGATAGGTATCTGAATAGGAAGGATTTAGAGGGATATGGGCCAAATGCTGGCAAATGGGACTAGATTAATTTAGGATATCTGGTTGGATCAAAGGGTCTGTTTCCATACTGCATGGCTCTATGACTCTATGACTATATGGCTGGAAAGAGTGTTTAGCTTTTCTTCGGGAAAGTCAGAGAAAAGTCAGTAAGAAAGTATCTGTATGTCTTGGGGAGAGACAAAGAGAATCACATCTAGCAAATGCACAGGAAGTTACTGAAAAGAAATGCCTGCAGCTTCATCAGTTGAGTAAGAAATTTTAATGTGAATATAGGAGTGATACTTCCCATGATTGAGTTGCAGAAAAAGATATTGCTGGGAAAAAGGATTGAATTTTTCTTTTTGGAAAGAAAGATTTTTTTTTGCCTCATTCTGTGTGCGTTCTGTGGCTCACCATCACCGTAAACAAATAACAAAAATCAAACTTATGGTCTATCAAGCCACATTTCACTCTAGAATCTTATTTCTCTAATATAACCATCATCTGGGATCACAACATTATAATTATGTGGTTCATAAGAATATTATCTTTTAAAACTGTATCTTTTAGCTTCTCTGATTATTATGTTTTGGAACAAGTAGAAGGCGTCATGTAACCATTGTGTTGGAAATGGACAGCTTGTGTGTTATGATTATTTTTATATTATTATTGTTATTGGAGATCAAAGGGAATTAGACTGGTTTATTGAGAGGGGAATGCAAGGTACATACATTTGGAACACTTGCTAAAGGAATGTTGGCCCTTATTTCAAGGGGTTTGGAGTATAAGAGTAGGGAAATCTTACTGCAGCTGAACAAGGTGCTGGTGAGACCACATCTGGGTGTACTGTGAGCTGTTTTGATCCCCTTATTTAGGAAAGTTATTTCATTGGAGGCAGTTCAGAAAAGGCTCATTGGAATGATGTTTGGTTTGGAGGCATTATCTTATGTGCAAAGGCTAAATAAGCTGGGACTCTACTCACTGGAGGTTAGAGGAATGAGAGACGATCTCATTGAAACATGTAGGATTCTTAAAGGCCTTGGCAGGGTAACTGCTGAGAGGATGTTTCCCCTCATTGGAGAGTCTAGGACCACACGGCATAATCTCAGAATATAAGGGTACCAATTTAAGACTGAGGTGAGGAGGAATTTCTTCTCTCAGCGGGCTGGGGGTCTCCTTACCACAGAGAGATATGAGGGCTGAGTCATTGCTACAGGGTAACAGGGAAAAGGCAGGAATGTGGACATGAAGATTGACAGGTTCGCCATGATCCTGTTCAATGGTGGAATAGGCTTAAGGGGCTAATGTTATGGAGACATGAACAGCAGTTTCGAAGTTCTATATGAGTTGTTCCTGAGTCCTCTAAATTCCCGTAAGAGTGCTGTAGGCATCAAGATGTTACCAGGTGTGCTGTAAACTATCCATTTCTTTCTAAGGTGAAAGGGAGTCGAGATCAAAGATAACTGATCTGTGTTCTGCTCGCAAAAAAGACCCTGAACTACCTGTTGCCTGCCACTTCAGTGCACCACCCTGCTCTCTGGCCAACATCTCTGTCTCTGACTTGCTGCAATGCTCCAGTGAAGCCCAACACAAGCTGGAGGAACAACACCTCATTTTTCATTTGGGGACCCTACAGCCCTCCAGGTTCAATATTGAGTTCAATAATCTTAGGGCCTAAACTTTCCCCATATCCCAGTCCCCTACCCCACACACCAGGCCTTGTTACCACATAGCCTGCCATTACACACCCACTGTTGTTAGTCACTATCAGTCCCCATTAACAACTATTCACCCTCCCAGCCTGATCGTTAGCAACTCCTTTGTCTGTCCAACTGTCTCTCTCTCTCTTTTTGGGCTCTATCTTATCGTTTACTCCCTACCACACCCACCTCCCTATTTTCTGCATATAAACTGACGTTTTCCCAGCCACCATCAGTTCTGAGGAAGGGTCACTGGACCCAAAACATTAACTCTGTTTTCTCTTTCACAGATGCTGCCAGACCTGCTAAACTTTTCCAGCAACTTTGTTTTTATAACTGATTAGCAGTTTTACTTGGACATTATATAGATGATTTGGAGTTGGGGACCACGTGTAGGGTGTCAAAGTTTGCAGATGACACTAAGATGAGTGGCAAAGCAAAGTGTGCAGAGGACTGTGAAACTTTGCAGAGGAACATAGATACATTGAGTGAGTGGGCAAAGGTCTGGCAGATGGAATACAATGTAAATAAATGTGAAGTCATACATTTTGGTAGGAGTAATAGTAAAAAGGATTATTACTTGAATGGTAAAAAGTTGCAGCATGCTGCTATGCAGAGGGACCCGGGTGTCCTTGTGCATGAATCACAGAAGGAGGTCTGCAGGTACAACAAGTAATTAGGAAGGCAAATGGAATTTTGTCCTTCATTGCTAAAGGGATTGAGATTAAAAGCAGAGAGGTTATGTTGCAGCTGTACAAGGTGCTGGTGAGGCCACACCTGGAGTACTGTGTGCGGTTTTGGTCTCCTTACTTGAGAAAGGATGTACTGGCACTGGAGGGGGTGCAAAGGAGGTTCACTAGGTTGATTCCGGAGTTGAGGGTGTTGGTTTATAAGGAGAGACTGAGTAGATTGGGATTATATTCATTGGAATTCAGAAGATTGAGGGGGAATCTTATAGAAACATATAAAATTATGAAGGGAATAGATAAGATAGAAGTAGAGAGGATGTTTCCACTGGCAGGTGAAGCTAGGACAAGAGGGCATAGCCTCAAGATTAGAGGGAGCAGATTTAGGACTGAACTGAGAAGGAATTTCTTCACCCAGAGGTTGTTAATCTATGGAATTCCTTGCCCAGTGAAGTAGTTGACGCTACTTCAGTAAATGTTTTTTAAAAAAAGGTAGATTTTTTTTGAACAATAAAGGAATTAAGGGATACGGTGAGAACGCGGGTAAGTGGATCTGAGTCCACGAAAGGATCAGCCATGATCTTACTGAATGGCGGAGCAGGCTCGAAGGGCCTGACGGCCTATTCCTGCTCCTAGTTCTTATGCGTTCTTATTAAAGCGACTCTTGGATAGGCACATGGATGATAGTATAATGTGGGGTATGCAGGGTAGTTTGATCTTAGTAGGATAATAGGTCGGCACAACATTGTGGGCCGAAGGGCCTGTACTGTGCTGTACTGTTCAATGTTCTATGTTCTAAATGTGTTTCCCATTGCTATGGGAGAGAGGATAGTGGAAGGCATGGATCCCACACTTAGTTAGTGAATCATGTTTTCTGGTCATAAATATTGGCCTTGCCATGAACACTCACATCTCAGAAATGAATTTAAATAAAAGGTCTAAGTTCATTATAAAATCTTGCAGCTCAGAAAATAAACCATTCTGCCCATTGTGCTTGTGCTGATTGTGAAAACGCGTTACCTAAAGTGTTCCATTCTCTCTGCTTTTGTCCCCAATTTTCCTGTAATTTTCTCCCCTTTCAAATCATGATCCCATTTCCGTTTGAGAGTTGGCACATCCCTTTAGATAACCCAATCCAATCCATCTAAAACTCTGGGTAAGATACATTTCCTCATCACCCCTCTGGTTCTTTTGCCAATGACTGTAAATTTGCGTCCTCTGGTTACCAACCCTTTTGTGAGTTTCTCTTTAGTCACTCTTCATCAGTTTTGTGATTTTGAACATCTCTACCCGTTAGCCTCTACAGGGCACAGTACTGATGTCTCCAATTAATATGCTTAGCCAAGCATTAAAGTGTCAAGACAAACAAGCAGGAAGTAAATATTAACAAAGCTGTGTGTGGGGTTGGAGAGAGAGGGATCATCACTGAAGGACCAGTCTATAATGCCACCTGAATATATTCTACCAGTTCTTATTGATACCTTCATGTCGAACGTTGTCACACTCAGGCCCACTGTCAGTACACACGCAATTTTCCACCTTGTCTCCAACGATGCGGATCCAGCTCTGTCCAATAAGGAAGTACCTGTAGTGGGTATTGTCGAAGCATTTCACTGAAAGAGAAAATCACTAAATGTACAAGGTTGGGCGTGCAATGATTATGTGATCATTAAACCTGAATCCAACGTGAACTGGGGAGGTGATGGCCTGGTGGTATTATCGCCAGGCTGTTAATCCAGAGACCCAGGTAATGTTCTGGGGACCTGGGTTCAAATCCTGCCACGGGCTGATGGTGGAATTTGAATCCAAAAACAAAAAGTCTGGAATTAAGAGTTGAATAATGACCGTGAAACTTGTTAATTGTTAGGAAAAATCCTTCTGGATCACTAATGTCCTTTAGGGAAGGAAACTGCCATCCTTACCCGTTCTGTCTGACATATGACTCCAGACCCACAGCAATAAGGTTGATGGCTAACTGCCCCCTGAAATGGGCAATAAATGCTGGCCTAACCAGTGAGACCCTCATCTCTTGAATGAATAAAAGGTATGCACGATTGTTGTTGAAAAGAGTGACTAGTTTCTGAAGTTTTTCACTTTGCACTCATCAAGACAAATGCAAGAATAATAAATTTCAAAAAATATCACAACAACTTCTACTACAGGGTCCTGAGCGATTGGCAAGTCAATTTGAATTGGCTGAGGTGTTGTCGTGGAGAAACCAAGAGGAAGGCTCTCCCACCTTCTCGGTAATTCAAAAATAGCCCAAGACGTGCACACACTCCATCTGTTTCCAGAAAGTAGGTTCCTGTTTATGAACGTATGTTGCTTCTAGCAAGTGTAAGTGAGTCATGCCATGAGCCTGACTGATTGTCTTAAATTGATTGCCATTATTGCAATTAGTACACTCTGGGTTGCTCAGCAAGTGCTGCCCAAATGCAGAATCCACAATAAAGGCAAGCCGTTTGCACACATATGCTGCCATTCAGCAAACACATACGACATGTTATAAGGTACGTAGTCCTCTCAAGTACACATGAAGCACTTACCTTCCTGGCAGTTCACTCCTGCAAATTGGTCATGGCAGCGACAGTAGTAAGAGTTGAGCAGAGGATCTCTGATGCATGTCCCTCCATTTTTACAGGGATGTGAAGAACAGGGATCTGCCCAGTTCAAAGCAAAGAGGTTTTAGTGCCAATGCTACATGCTCAGTTCTCTTACTGAAAACAAAGTGACACCAAATTTTAATTCCCCTAGCCTATATTCCAATGGAATAAAACTCTCAACACCAACCAAACCCTCAATATTAGCAACTGACTTTGTCTTAAACTGGAGTTTAATTTCCATAATTATACCCCTGTCATTATTGTCCCTTTTATCAAAATTTTTTGCAAATTCTGTGCATGAATTAAGAATAAATTATGCAATCTTATAACTACTGCAGTGACCTACTTTAACAATTTCCCATATTTTGGTAGACTTACTTCTCAAGGTGTTGTTTTGAATTCTAAAACCCAGCTTTCCAACATATGGTAATTTACTGTAATATGCTATATAACATCACCATGGCTTACACCGTTCCCGCTAATAACCTGACAGGGTCCACAGGGAGGGGTATGTATTTAATACTGCAGTGACCATGACAGCAGTCAGGATGTGTTAATCAAAGAGGCAAATAATCAGCAGGATCCCCACAGAATTCAATATTCCCCACTGCAAAGAATATAACCCCCCATTGAGGAAATTCACTCACTCCAAGAAAATTCATCGCCCTGAGGAAATTGAGTCTTTCGGAGGAAATTCACTCCTCAAATTCAACTACCTCCAAGGACATTCTCGACCCTGAGGAATTTCACGCTCCTGAGAAAAGACACTCCCCTGCCACTACCCGCCTGTTCCCCCACAAACTCCTCTCCCACACTGAGGAACGTAACCCTCCTACGAGGAACATAGTCTCACACACCTCCAGCTCCCATGGAAATTCATCCTTCTCCCCGAGGAATGTCAGTCCCATCCTGTCTTCCTTGCGAAGATGTCCGTTGCGTGGGAGTAAATTCTTTAATATGAAGACCATATCTGACCAAGCGCCAACTGATTTACCCACCTTCTTTTGGACACTGTGGGACATCACAATAATCCCAGGAGATGTGATCATCAATCAGTGTGTAACACCATGGCTCCTGTTCATTGTCTGAGTTTCTGAAATGGATACGTGGTTAACTTAAAAATGGCTGAACCTCCTGCCCAGTCTAAACCCCTCCATCTATCCTTAAAACCACTGAATTGAATATGAAATATAAACTGGCATTCACACTGTGATCACAGAATAAGTGAATTGATATGGCGCAGAGGGAGTCCATTTGGCCCACGATGCTTGTACCAGCTCATCGAACCTAGTGCCAATCTGTCCTTTTGCCCGATAGCCTTCCACACTAATTCTATCCAAATGATCATCCAATGCCCTCAGATGCCCTGTAATGTTAGCTACGATCTGGAATGTCTTGGGTAGGTTTGCCATCACCAATCATTCTTGCTGGATTTAGTTGAGGCTACTGAAACCACGTGGGGAAGGATCTCACACAATGTCCTAGGCAGAAGACTGGCTCAACTTTCTTGAACAGTATACAGTTTTATAACATAGTACTTAATAGCTAGTAGCTATACATCTAAGATTCATGGCTGTCTGTCGTGAGGCATCAAGAACTTAGGTATACATCATTACTTTAACTATGTGCTTTATTATGAAGAACAACGACTCATGAACTGGTTAGGATACTTCATCTCTCCTCTCAGGACCAGTCCTTTATATCCTAATGTGTGGAACTCATCTCATGATGTTAGTTGGCCCATTCAGGGACTAACTGCCTTATAACAATGAGCACCTCGGGCTTGCTTTTATGAGGAGGGCTGGGTAGGTAAGTGTGGCAGTAACATGGGGTGCCTGCTAGGGGTACCATTCTCAGCATCCACACTCCTGCCGCTATTGATGGGGCAGGCATTGGGACATCAGTCAGCTGCTGGATCAACTGAGGGCCTAAAGTTTATTTCGGGTCCTCCTCCTATCCCTGCTGGACTTGAACCCACCACAGACAGGACTACACAGTTTTCAGCAATGAGTTCCAGTCCTGGGGTACTGCCAGCTCTATTGGCTGGCTAGTAGCTCTTGGAGATGGGGATACCTCACTTTGATTGGCTGCAGGATGGGTCAAACTTTACCCCTTGACTGTCCTTGACTGCCAGAGTTGGCTCAAAATCTAGCATTTTTCCCTACTTCATCAAAAGGCAATTGTGTTCAAATTCATAAGATAGAGGAGCAGAATTAAGCCATTCGGCCCATCAAGTCTGCTCCATCATTTGGTCATGACTGATATAGTTCTCAACCCCAATCTCCTGCCTTCTCCCACTCCAAAGAGTTGAACAAACACTCACAGCTGACATTTCAATGGGTCAGCATCTCAGGTTCACAGTTAGAAACCTGGTTAATGTGATATTTGTGGGCAGAGCAATTCTGCCGCTGATCCTCGTCTATGACTGGGTGTAAGGACCTGTTTCTCATTGAGTTTTTTTAAGACAGAGGTGAATGGATTCTTTTTCAATAAGGGAATAAAAGATTATCGAGGATAGTTGAGATTGTGTTACTCGAGTTACTCGACGCAGTATTCCTAGCTTCTGGCCTGCTCTTGTAGCCACTGTGTTAATGTGGTGAGTCCAGATGAGTTTCTGGTCAATGATAACCCCCAGGATGTTGATAGTGGGGGATTCAGTGATGGTAACACCATTGAATGTCAAGGGGCAGTGGATAGATTGTCTCTTATTGGTGATGGTCATAGCCTGGCATTTGTGTGGAGCATATGTTACTTGCCATTTGTCAGCCCAAACCTGGATATTGTCCAGATGTTGTTGCATGTGAACGTGGACTACGTCAGTATCTGAGGCGTTGCGAATGGTGCTGAACATTGTGCAATCATCAGCGAACATCCCCAATTCTGACCTTATGATGGAGGGAAGGCCATTGATGAAGCAGTTGAAGATGGTTGGGCCGAGGACTCTCCCCTTGAAACACAAATAGATCAGTCATGATCTTACCAAATGGAGGAGCAAACTCGAGGGGCTGATTGTTCTAACCTTGCTTCTATTTTTCAGATCAGAATTACAGAATTGGGAGAGGAACAATCGTTAGTGAGTCTTAACAAGAAGAGGTCCTTGTGCGAACATGATGTATTTTATTACATAATAGCAATCAGCTACAATTTTCCTGAGCTAGTCAGACATTGATCAGTCCCTTACAAGATCCCAAGCTATCTCCTTGATTTACTTGCTCAAGGCTATATGACACTATCAGTCTAGTTGAAGTTTGATGCTGTGTCCAACATTAGCCCTTTCAGTCCATTACTTTATGTGAACAATGTCAGCCTGACTAGATTAATTTTTTTTTAATGAGACTAATTGAAGGTCCAATATAGGTCAGGACACCAGGTTAACTTCATGTTGAATAATACCACGGGATCTTTCTCATCCACTTGCATAGGCAGGTGAGACCTCAACATAGCACCTCTTCTGAGAGTTATCACTTCCAATAGTGTTGTATCCCCTCAGTACCAGACTGGAGTGTGTGGGACTGGGGGTTAATATTCAATTCAAACTGGGCTTATGCCCCAGTGAATAGATGGGGGGTCACATTTACCCATTGACCCTTTCTACATACTCACCTTTATAGAATCCCTACAGTGTGGAAACAGGCCATTTGGCGCAACAAATCCCTAACAAGTCTCGCACCCAGGCCCATCCCCATAACCCTTCATTTCCCATAGCTAACATACCTAACCTGCACATTCCTGGACACTATGGGCAATTTAGCATGGCCAATCCACCCTAACCTGCACATCTTTGGGCTGTTGGAGGTAACCACAGCACCCAGAGGAAACCCACGCAAACACAAGGAGAACATGCAAACTCCACACAGACAGTCGCCCGAGGGAATTGAACCTGGGTTCATGGCACTGTGAGGCAGCAGTGCTAGCCACTGAGCCACCGTCAAGATTACTCCTGGGATAAGCCCCAGAGGGATGGTTTGGCAGGCAATGAGGGGGATCGGTAGAGCAGGAATTTTCCGGACTCACACTTTCCAAATCCTTTCAGTGCTGCTCTGGGAACTCAATGTGCACTGATTGTGAATTGCAGAGGGTGAAGAAGTCATTAACTAGAATGACTCCAGGAATGAGAAACTTTAGCTCTTAGTGATAAACTGAAGAAGTTGTTCTCTTTGGAGTGAAGAAAGCTGAGAGAATGTTTTCTAAATCGCAAGTGCACTGGACAGAGTAGGACAAGGAAAACTCAACATGAACAGATAGAGGGGCAAGCAGTAGATATGTTGCATTTGGACTTCCAGAAGACATTCAACAAGGAACCTCACAAAATGTTACATCATAAGATATGACTTGGTGGTGGAGTAGATAGAAAATTGGCTAATGGGCAGGAATCAGCGAGTGGGAAAAGGGGCTCTTTTTCAGGTTGGCAACCTGTAACCAGTGGGGTTCCACAAGGATCAGTGCTGGGACAGCAAGTATTTAAAATGTATATTAATGACTTGGAGGAAGGAAATGAATGTAGTGTAGCCAAGGTCACAGAAAACACTAAAGTAGGTGGGCAGGCAGGTTGTAAGAGGGAGACAAATAGTGTAGAGAGATATTGATAGGCCAAGCAAGAAAGTGGGCAAAAAATTGGCAAATGGTGTATAGTGTGGGGATAATGTGAAGTTGATAACTTTGGAAGCGAGAATAAAAGAACAGAGTAGTTTTTTAAATGGAAAAAACATGCAGAAAGCTGCAACACAAAGAGACTTGTGAGGACTTGTACACAAAACACAGAAAGCTAGCGCACACACAGGTACAGCAGGTAATCAGGAAGTCTAATGGAATGTTAACTCTTATTTCAAAGGGGATTGGAGTATAAGAGTAGGGAAATCTTACTGCAATGGTACAAGATGCTGGTGAGACCACATCTGGAGCACTGCGAGCAGTTTTGGTCCCGTTATTTAAGGAAAGATATCATTTCATTGGTGATAGTTCAGAGAAGATTCACTGGGATAAATCCCTGGTATGGAGGGATTGTCTTATGAGCAAAGGTTAAACAGATTGGGACTCCACTCGCTGAAGTTTAGAAGAATGAGAGGTGATCTCATTGAAACATGTAGGATTTTTAAGGGGCTTGACAGGGTAAATGCTGAGAGGATGTTTCTCCTTCTGGGAGAGTCTAGGACGGGAGGCAGAGTTTCAGAATAAAGGGATGCCAATTTAAGACTGAGATGAGAAGGAATTTCTTCTGAGGGTTGAGAGTCTTTGGAATTCCTTGCCACAGAGAGCTGTGGGGGCAGAGTCCTTGTATATATTTAACGCTGAGATAGATAGATTCTTGATCAGTCAAGGATTGTGGGGAAAGGGCAGGAAAGTGGATGTGAGGAGTGTCAGATCAGCCATGATTCTACTGAATGATGGGGCAGGCTCAAGGGACCAGACGACCAACTCCAGTTTCTATTTTTTATGGTCTTATGGTGTAAGCTGTTTCTCATTCGTAAAAGAAAAAAGAACAAGAGGACATAGATTTTAATTGAGGTACAAACAAAGCAAGCATGATGCGAGAAAAAACATTTTCACCCAGCGAGTAGTTGGGGTCTGGAAATGTGGTAGAGGGAGGTTCGATTGAGGCGCTCAGAGGGCTCTGTATGATTATTTGGATAGAAATGATGTGCAGAATATGGCAAAAATGCAGGAGGGTGGCACTAAGTAATGATGATCATTTGAAGAACGAGTGCATGCATGATGGGCTGAAGGGATTTTGTGTACACCAGAACTATTCTGCACTTCTGCAATTGACAGCTAGACTCTAGTGAATGCACACATTCTGAAGCACCCTGGGACGCCCTGAGGGCATGAAAGAAACCATATAATAGCCTGAGATAACAAGGTGTAGAGCTAGGTGAACACAGCAGGCCAAGCACCATCAGAGGAGCAGGAAAGCTGACGTTTCAGGTCTAGACCCTTCTTCAGAAATGGGGGACAGGGAGGGGATTCTGAAATAAATAGAGAGAGAGGGGGAGGTGGATGGAAGATGGATAAAGGAGCAGATAGGTGGAGAGGAGACAGACAGGTCAAGGAGGTGGGGATGGAGCCAGTAAAGGTGAGTGTAGGTGGGGAGTTAGG